TTACAAAGTTGCGCAAAGTATAACATACATCGTGCCCACCTGCGCAACGCGCTGGCGCACCTCGTCCTTTTCCGCAAACAAAATTTATATACACTTGTACAGGCGCATTTTGAGAATCGCAGGGATGCGACCCCCGCCCGTTTATTCGGCACAGTACGACCGGACACATTTGTGCGAAGGGGCTGCTTAAATAGGGGGGTCCTTGTGAAGCAGCTGCCCGCGTTTCCAAAGCCCGTATGGTGTTGGATAGTAAGGTGCCCAAGTACGTTTGCGAGGAAGAGAATGTGGCCAGGCTGGAGAGGAAAGTGCAGTGGCATATTGGAATGTGAGATTAGCGTAAGCGAGTTACAGGGCGTTTGGCGCACGGGCGAATTTACGTGCATACCTTTCACCGTAGCATTACTCCTCAGTTCACTTTTTGGAACAAACATCAGCATAGGTCCAAGCCCTCTCGCTTGGAGGGATATGCAAACAAACATCCTGATAGGGGTAAACTCGCACGCTACCGAGCATTCAACCGAGCACATGCATGCTTAGTTGAATTGGCATGGAGATTGACGTGGCCACGCTGCACGCGAAGCTATCTCAAGCGAGCCTCGTCATTCATATGAGTTCCAAGGTACTCAGCAGGAGTTCCTTGGAAGGACATTGACGAGGAAATAGCACTCGCCAATTTTGCGTAGCAGGCGTCTGTCGCTTCCGAGCGCCGCGACTGCACTGTTCAACGCACCAAATATATGCCTATTCAGCTGACACAAATGTGAAGAGTATATGCGAGGTCGACAATTTAATACATGGTCGGGAGCATGTACTAGCTAAGTATTTCTTAGCGAGTGTAATGGAAAAGTTACGGAAATCTCCCTTTCCATTGGCTGTAAGGACGTTAGGCCCATTGGCCGCTCGTCCGAATCAAGTATTCTCTAACTAACGGGTGCAACCACCGGTTGCAAAGCCTAAATCCGCCGCAACCTGAAGGTGTCGCAGTCATGAACTACGTCACCTCGGTCTTGCACGCGGCAACGGCACCCCTTGCGTCGATTGTCTCCCTGAAGCAATTTAAGAAGATCCACCGACAAGGCGCACAGTGCTTTGCTGCCTTCGTCACCAGCGAGGACATCGCGCAGCTAAATGCTGTGCAAGCAGACGAAACTAAACCGCCCGACCCGTCCCTCGTCCAACCCGACAAGCTAAATGCTCTCCTTGACGAGTACAAGGAAGTTTTCGAGCCGCTCACGGGCCTTGGTCCTGACCTCGGCATCGGACACACCATCGAGCTCGAACCCGGCAAACAGCCGCCATACTCTCGGCCATATCGGCTCTCACAGCTAGAACAGCAAGAGTTGAAAAAACAGCTCGCCGATCTCATAGCCAAAGGCTTCATTGAGGAATCGAAGTCGCCATTCGGCGCGCCTGTACTCTTCGCTCAGAAGAAGGACGGTACGCTCCGCATGTGCCTTGACTTCCGTGCACTCAACAAAATCACGATAAAAAACAGATATCCTCTACCTAACATCACGGACCTCCTGAACAAGCTTCAGGGCGCGAGTCTCTTCTCGTCGCTGGATCTGCAAAGCGGGTACCATCAAATCCGTATTACTCCGGAGGACATTCCGAAAACCAGTTTTGTCACGCCGTTCGGTACGTTCCAGTACAAAGTACTGTGCTTCGGGCTGACTAACGCCCCAGCAACCTTCCAAAAGGTCATGAACACCGTGCTCAAGAAGCACATCGACGCTGGCTACTGCGTGGTTTATCTGGATGATATCCTCATTTTCAGCAAAGACCCGCAAAGCCACCTCGAACACATTCGCGGCGTCCTGGAGTCCCTCAAAGGGATGCGGTTACGTGCAAAGCTCGAAAAGTGCGAATTTAATCGAAAGGAAGTAAACTTCCTCGGCCACATCGTCGGCCGTGATGGTCTCAAAGTGGACCCCAGAAAAATTGAGTCCGTGCAGTCCTACCCGGTTCCAACCGACATGACCAAGCTTCGTGGCTTCCTGGGACTCGCGAATTACTTTCGCAAATTTATCCAGGGGTTCTCGTCGCTTGCGGCTCCGCTCACGGCTCTAACCAAAGGCAAACGGTTGAACCCAACCGACTGGAAGGACGAGCACCAAGCTGCTTTTGACGGCATCAAGCACGCGCTTGCAAACGCGCCGGTCCTTCACCTGCCGGATTTCTCCAAACCCTTCGAGGTAATTACAGATGCAAGCATCTACGGCACTGGTGGTGTACTCATGCAAGACGACCACCCAGTCGCATATACGAGTCGGAAATTCACGGCTCCCGAAATCAACAACACAACCACGGAGCAAGAACTCCTAGGAACGATAAACGCTCTACAAGAGTGGCGTCCATATCTCGAAACGGCGCAAGAAACGTTCAAGCTGGTCACCGACCACCACCCAAACATCTGGTTTGAAACCAAGAAAGACCTCTCCCGGCGCCAAGCTCGCTGGCAAGAATTCCTCAGCCGATTCCACTACATGTGGGAATACAGGCCCGGTCGTAAGAACGTCGCTGATCCCCTGTCGCGCATTCACGCGCCAGAACAGGCGGTCGCAGCCATGATGTACCTTGGCATGCCTACTGACGACAGCCCTCAGGGCCCAAACTTAGCCGACCGCCTGCGGGCAGTAATGCCTGCCGAACCAGACCCCGAGTGGGGCACGGTTTCGTTCGCTGACGGAATGTGGTTCAAGGGCAACAGAATTATCGTGCCCAATGACCCCAAGCTGCGTGCAGACATTCTGCATGCATATCACGACACACCCTTGGCAGGCCATCGCGGTGTTGCACGCACACTCTTCACCATTAACGAACGTTTCTGGTGGCCAGGCATGTACAGCGCTGTACAGCGTTATGTACATGAGTGCCCGCAATGCCAGCGCAACAAAGCCGACAACCGCAAGCCAGCCGGAGAGCTGAAACCCCTGCCCATCCCTACGCGGCCATGGGAGGTGGTGTCCTGCGATTTTATTATGTCGCTTCCGCCCACCAAGGATGGCCACACAGCCATTTGCGTCTTTGTCGACAAGTTGACGAAATTCGTCACGTTCGTGCCGACACACGATCAAATCACTACGATTCAGTTTGCAAAAATTTTGCGTGATGAAATCATCTGCAAACACGGCTGTATCGACTTCCTACTGTCTGATCGCGACCCGCGGTTCACTGCGCAAGCAATGCGCAACACAGCCCAACAACTGCACTTTAAACAGCTGCTTTCCACGTCGTTCCACCCTCAAACGGATGGACAAACTGAGCGCGTGAATCGCGTTCTGCAAGAGGTGCTACGCAATTACGTAGGGCCGGAACTCACTGACTGGGCCGAACACCTACGCACGGCGGAATTCGCCATCAACAACAGCAAATGCGAAGCCACGGGCTACACGCCCTTCTACCTCATGTACGGACGGCATCCACGAATGCCGGACGACTACGGGCTTCCACTCAAAACGAAACACCCTGCAGTCGACGAACTCGCTGACGCCCTACATGCGCGTCTTGACAAGGCCAAAAAGGCCCTACACGCCGCTCAGCAACGACAGGCTCAGCATGCCAACAAGCATCGCCGACCAGCCCACTTCCAAGTCGGGCAATACGTCTTGCTAAACTCCAAGAACATAACGTTCAAGGCACCTAATGCCAAAGGACGCGGCAAGTTCATGCCACGGTTCATTGGACCTTTTCCCATCCTAAGCATGGTGGGCGAGTCTGCAGTCCGCCTGCAACTTCCGGAGGCATTGCGCATGCACAATGTCTTCCACGTGTCCCTGCTGCGACAGTTTAAACAAAGCAGCAATGCACCACCTCCACCGGTGGTCCCTGCAGTGGAAGGCGACCCTATGTGGTTTGCCGAAGAAATCCATGCACACCGTGCGAGCGGCTCTGGCCGTCGCCACCTCGTCGAGTACTTGGTCCGCTGGCAAAACCACGGCCCCGAGTACGACTCCTGGAAGACGGCCCAAGACTGCCGTCGAGGCTGCCCCAAAGCGGTCGAAGCCTATCACGCCAAGTTGTACGCCAAGGGTGTACCCTTGCCCTAAGAAGCCCTTCCCAACCTACACTGGCGCCCCGAGGACGGGTTCGCATTCAAGAGGGGGGGAATGTAAGGACGTTAGGCCCATTGGCCGCTCGTCCGAATCAAGTATTCTCTAACTAACGCCAAAGGCGTTCCTGTACGATAGGGCCTTATGGCACTAGCGTCCAACTCAGTTAAAATACTGATCTTTACCTAAAAACGGTATTCTTCAATACCACCAAATTGTGGACTTCTAACTCCTTGAGTTAGTTAGCATACGACGCGGTACCCTATAGGGACCTAGCATCGCTACATTGGCTGTAACAAAGCTTGCAGTTGGCAAGCAGTTGCGAAAAAGGAAATTATCCAACGATAAAGGTGGTATTGATAAATACCGTTTGGTATTGGAAGATTATGAATAGTTCTTGGATGTACCGTTGGTACGATACCGTTGGCCCGGTGAGCCAAGGGCCGCCTTAGCGGCGTTACATTCCCCCCCTCTTGAATGCGAACCCGTCCTCGGGGCGCCTTGAGTGAGGTGGATAATTAGGGTAGCGGTACGCCTTTTGCGTACAGTTTTCCATGGTAAGCGCGGATTGCCTCTGGGCATCCTTGGTTGCAGTCCTTTGCGGACTCCCAGGAGTCGTACTCGGGGCCCAGTTTGTGCCACCTGACGAGGTACTCCGTGGTGATGCGGCGCCTGCTGCGAGACTGCCGGTGGGCGTGGATCTCGTCCACGTACCACAAGGGTTCGCCCTCAGCTGCGGGAATCGCAGGTGGGGGTGGCGCGTTGCTGCCAGCCTTGTAGGCTTTGAGTTTAGAGACGTGGAATACGTCGTGCATGCGCAAGTGCGCCGGGAGCTGTAGTCGAACCGCGGCTTCGCCCACCTTGGCAGTGATGGGGAAGGGGCCGATGTAGCGTGGCATGAACTTGCCAAGGCCTTTCGTGTTGGGTGCCCGGAACGTGAAGTTCTTGGTGCTCAGCAGGACT